AACATGACGTTGAGCTGATGGAATCCTGATGCGTCACAAGCCACATGACCCTGACACCTGATCAAAGGTGATGAGGCTTGACATGAAGGCAGAAGAAGTTCAACTTAGAAAGACCCGATGGACATCGATGGAATCTCAACTACATATGGAATTCTTGGATCAGAAAACCAATGACATCTTGGATGATGGGATTCTGACATTTTCGTCTGAATTTCGTCTCACCTGGAATTGACCACCTCTGTATTGCTCCAATGGAACCTGACGCACATCTGACGCCCAAGGTCTGGCGGGCCTTGTGCAGCTGGATGGGCAAGCAAATCTGTGACTTGGCTGGCTCAAAGCGGTCCAAAAGAGCATCTGTCCTTGGCCGAGCATCCGCACATGGTCATGTTATTTATATTCATATTCTTTGAGCATGTGGCTGGAGCTGCATGGAAACGGGAAACAGGGTCTTTCTACTTCATCTCCAAATCGTGGGGCAAGAACTGTAGCTCTGCTTGCATCCAAATCTCACTCTATGAGGACTTTGACGACAAAAAGGTGGGTAACGCTGATGTTGGCAGAGGTGAGACCTGTTTGTTCCACAAGTTTATCTTGTAGGGACCCAACATCGAGCAGGGAACCCAGAAGAAGTAGGCATCGCAGACCGCTTTGACAGACACGAGGCTGCTTGCTCCTTGCTTTCTTTCAATCGTTCAAGGACCGGGCTCGGCTTGTCCTCCCAGTCCACCCCTCCCTAGACTACCGTCGCCCCACCTTCTTCGGGCGACGTTGCCCGAGGTTAGATGAGCACCTCTTAGACCTTTACATCTACTATGCTCGACACCCGGAGACCCGGAGGGAGACGGCAGGTGGTGGGTGATAGGTGGATTTGAAGCACATCACTAAACTCTTCCCCCGTCGCATGGAACAGATCCTACAAAGACTCTCTTTTTGATTCCTGGTGAGTATTTGAACCAGACATTTTTTTGATGCGGTCGCTGCTGGTCATGCTGAGGCATTGATCGCCATGCAAAGCGCACAGCCCAGGCGCAGGGCGTTGCGCCAGAGGGGCACTTCGGTCTGAAGACTGACGTAGCAGACATGCGATTGGAATTCCTACCCCTGAAGGGCTGTTGGGACTCCACTCCAATTATGCAGATGGGGACTTCACGCCCTTTTTTAATGCATTTGTGGTTTCCTCTTGTTTTGTCCTTTCAACCAGAATCACCATGCCTGTCTGGCAGGACGCGAGTAGCGGGCTTGTCCATCTTGTGTAGCATCACCCAGTGGGCCTCGCATGAATCAGCCACTGGACTGCAACGAAAGAGTCGAAGACCGCGGACCTGCGACGGTGCAAAGGCGAGGTCGGTTGCCGGAAGTGCAAAGACTGTCCCGCAAAAAGCCCAGTAAAGGAAGATAGGGAAGTGTGCCTGAAATGAGGTCCACCACTAGTCCAGTGAGACGATTCTTTTCCTATATACAGTTCGTTCAGATTCTCAAAGCAGCCGAACATGCATCGGACTGACCGAGGTGGTTGCGCTACTTCCCAACTTCTTCGCCCTGTGCAATGATGAGTGGTGGGAGGCGAGATGCCCAGAGGTCCAGAGGTCCGCCTCGAGCACTTCGGACCGGGTGCGACCAGACCGGCCTCACCAGGTAGTCCAGTTCTGACATGGCTGTGTCATGGCTACCCGCAGCCCAGAACGCACCCTGGGAGGTTGACCCTCCTTGTCCAGCCATCTCAGTTCTGTTCTTCCTCTGGGTGGTCAATTCCTGTAGGTCTCGCGGAACTGTGGGACCTGAGAGAACGTGAGAGATCTATGAGTTGGTCTTCCAACTGCCTTGACTGGTGCGCCCTTCGTGCTTGGCGTAGCCGAGCAAAAATCACCAGACTGTACCCTTGGGGACACCTAGACAGACTTTCGCTCAAGTCGGCCAACAGTTAGGAGCAACCAGCGGTTGAAAGGAGACCATTTTGGTGTTTTCACAATTTTAATGCCAGAACTACTCAGTCATCAAGCCAGGATGCCCTATTAATGACCACCACATGCGCCATCATGTGCCTGTGCCTTCCGTGCTCTTTTTGGCCACCCTATTGGACTCCCCTGCTTGTAACAACTTAAAAAGACACTCGCTTCATGGCCACGGTTCCACCCTGCGCTTCCCACCCGGTCCTGCCGCGTCCCGCCGCGTCCCGGGAGGTCCAAGCGCAGCTCTTGCGTCTGTCGGCGCGGCTGCTGCAGCGTTTGGCCTCCGAACGGGGCGAGGGAGGCCACGAAGGCGCGCGGTCTCACGGTTTCCGCGCGCGGTCTGGGGCGCGACCTGGGGAGCGGTGTGGTGGTGTTGACCTGTTGACCAGTCATGTTGGTGTAGAACCAATTGTCCAGAATGACACTCCGCCTAGTCTCCAGTGCCGGCCAGACCACAAAATAGTGAAGACCAGGAAACTGTGAGGAGTGAAGCCTCTTCCACCCAAAAAACCTTCCAACAAACCATGGGTTCGGTTGACATCTCAAACATACATAGGGGAATCCGTTCATTTTCCGTGGTCACCCGGGTTTTGACCCACAACCATATAGAAGATATGGAAGATGAAGATGATCAAAGATGGATGACCTACTGTAGTGTACAAAGTAGTATTTCAACACACCACAGGTACAGTGGAAACCAGCAGCACAACAGGACCTGGGTCACACCCACAAGAGTTGCAGCCTTCACATTGACGGGATAAAAGGCGTTCAAACCAAACGGCCCCAGGCGTCTTAATTTGGTGTGCTGGCGATGATGGCGTTCAACATGTTTGCATGTATATAACCAGTGTAGAGTGGGGTTTACATAGTGAGTATGAGCTCACGAGCCACTCTTTTGACCAATCCCTACATAGTCAACACCCTACAGACGCTGGAGTGTTCATCCCGGCCATCAAATCCCATGTCCGCTTTCTGACAGGCGTCCGCAATGAGGATGGGACCGCCAGCCAGGGGCCAAAATGATGGATGTGAGAAGCAGATGTTGCCAAGATGATCATCAATATGGCATTCATTTAACAATGAGGCTAAGAATATATGTTGCCAAGAGGCTAAGAATACATGGTGAGGACAAATAACGCCAGATAGCTGTTCTCCACCTCGTGGCAGCCCTGGGGACCGCTGCACGATCCACACAGGGTCTTCTATTGATTGGATCCCATTTTAGAATTCAAAAAAAGGGAGGGACCGATCCGTTCCCCCCACATGCTGTGTGTATGGGACTTTTCATGGGACTGGTCTCCCAAGGGCCTGGATGCTCGGCTCGGACGTCATTTTCCCCCCAGTAAAGCAGTCTCGAACACCGTTTCCTTCTTCATTTGGATCACGCTCCGTTCAATGACCTTTTTTCTGCCAAGGTGGAGCCAGCAAGCCTGAAGAGGCTGAGGTGGGCAAAAGGATGAATCGTCTATGGGCTTTCCCTGAAACCTAAGGTAGTACCGTTGTGGCTACGTAGTGCTCTTTGTTGCAGATGCATACTGCTGCCACTTTCTGCTGCCTGGGGGGGTTATAATTTTTTTGTTTTCTATTTCAAGAGAAAGGGGAGAAGGTCCTCTGTTGGAGAATCCTTTGTCGTAGCAGTCCGGTGATGGAAGAGCTTGACTCTGGACACCATTTGTATGAGATTTCCCTTTTGCATGGCGACGCAGGATCTATCTTAGAGTTATCTTAGCCGTGCAGGATTCCTTTCTTTAAACTTTCAACGGGCCGACTTGGTTTGGTGGCCAAGTCGGCCACTTCTGGGCTGTCCACCGGCCGCTGTCCAGACCGATTCCCGGTCGCCAACGGGGGCGACATGGTGGTCCAACAGGGCCAGTGGCTGCTAGTAGCGAGGGCATCGCTACTAGTAACAAGAAGCTAGTAGTAGCGATGCACTTGCTACTAGTAGCTTCTAGCTGTTCTTGTCATGACCAGTTTCCAAGTTTACCAGGGGCAACCCACGCCAGGCCATGCCAAGCCGCTTGCGAGCGAAGGCAACACTCACAAAGCTCGAAGCATGAACTCCCATTGGTTTTGAATGTTGATGTTTTCCTTGTGATGTACAAGCATGCAGTGACCACTTGGGTTTCCACTCCGCAGAATCTAGGGAAGTGGCGACAAGCGTCGAACGGGTGCAAACAATCTGTGAGCTTGACTTGTTTGCTGCCTTGGCAGCCAACATCCTGACTTGGATATGCGACTAAAAGCTAGCTCCGTCCTGCATTCTGTGCTAGGCGGCTAGGCCACCGGAGGATTCACATATCCACAGCTTGGTGCAGCGGTTGGAGGGGCGTCCTTGACTTGCTCTACCATTCACTGATGACTTTGCTTCAGGGGTCGGGTCAGCGCTGCTCACAGATACCCCACCTGAACTTCTCAGTTGTTGAGTGCGGCTTGGGACCCACGGCTGGATGCAGTCCGGACTCTGGATGGAACTTGTCACTCAAGTCACTACTCCAGTCACTACTCCACAAGTCCTCACTCAGTCTTCCTTACTCGGCCCTACTCCAGTCACTCAGTCAGTCGCATTTCCCTACTCCACGGCCATTGGACACCACGTCCCGCAGCTTCCGAACCCACCAGCCGGACCGACCTATGGCCCCAGTCCGCGTTGAGGGTGGGCCGGGCGGACCAGCCGGCCAGCCTTGGCCTTGCCTTCTTCGATCCGAAGCGTTGGCGATCGGTCCGCCCAATCCGGTTCCAGTCGAAGAAAGCATGGATCCCGATGGAGGAAAGCGATCAGGTCCTCCTGTGTGATCTACTGGAGGACAAAGAGTGCCACAGTGGTGTCATGGCGCGCAGTACATTAGTAGATACTTAGCACCAATGTGGAAAGCCCTGAGACCAAGACTTGGATGACAAACAGATGAGAAAAACTGTGACCAAGACTTGCAGCACGCAAAGGGTGTCCAACAAGACTGGGGTGGATCTGGACGGTGCTGGTACTATTCCGTTCTTTTTTTACAGCATCCGAACTGCATGTTCACCGCTTCGGAGGCCACCGTCGAGACCATGATTGAAGATGTGCTGAATATGGTCGGCCGGCTTTTTGTGGTCTCGAACTCCAAGAATGTTTTGCAGGCAGGGTTGAGCGAGCTCCTAGAAGTCCAAAGGTCTTTCTAGCAAACTTCAAGCAACCGTCGCGAGTCTTTCCCAAACAGCTTTTTGCGTCTTGGGGAAGACCAAGAGAGCAAAGGTATTTGGGATTCAGCTGACCACTTCATTTCGAAACCCACCAAGAGATCCACACGCAGCTCGTCGATCTGCCTACTCTCTGATGTCCGGAGACCGATACCAAAGTTGGTCCGTTGGTCCTTCTGGGAAGAGGAGTACACAGTCACGCACCCTTGTGGGAGTTTGTTTGTTTGTGTGTATGTGTTTTTCCAGTTTTTGCGTAGTGTAGCGAGGGTAATTTGACGACTTGACCCTACCCAAGAGTAGTGTACAGATGTTTTGTTTGGCGCTTTCCGAAGCAACGTGCCTCTAGAGGAGCAGGCTGCACGGGCTGCACGGGCTGCACGGGCTGCACTTCCTTCAAAAAAACATTGATGAGTAAGCGTCTTCTCAGCGAACATACCAGCACCACCCGGATAGCATGGTTATAGTCATGGTTATTTATTTGCTGGCAAACACAGACCATCTCCGATCAAGGTCAAGGATCCCGGCTCCATTGTTTGATTTGTTTGACGAACCATCTTTGGCCCATCCAAGCTCCAACGTGAAAAAGCCCAAACGAGAATAGCTGTTCAATGACATTCACACTAGTTTTGGAAAGAGTGTGAATGAGGTTTGAGGTCTTCTGTGTTTGGAAAGAGTTCTAGAGTGCTCAATGACATTCATGAGGTCAGAGGTCTTCTGGTCACTTTTTGTCAAAATCTGACATGTTTCTCTACGCTTCGTTCACCATCTGCTCTCTCCGCCGCGCTGCCGCCCTGGTGCGCTCGGCGCTGGGCACCTTCAGGTAGGTCTGAGTGGCCTGGTCCATGTGCTCCAGGACTACCCGAACCTCTTGCCCAACTTCGTCCGAGGCCCCAGGATGAATGACCTTGGATGCTCAACATGTGACATGGGATGTGAACGACATGGGAGGATGGGTGCTGGTGGGGTGCGGGGCAGGTCGATGAGAGCTGATTTGGGGGTAGATGTGCAAGGGCAGGAAGAGTTGATGTCAAGAACGACCTTTGGAGAAATTGAGAGGCAGGTGGTGTTAACGGAGGCCTCCAGGAGGATTCGGGAAGATGTTCATTCTTCTTTAGAGGGGCTTCATTGTCAATGACACAAATTCTTCACAGGCGGATGACCCAGCTCTGCCCACTGCTCTCTTGGTACTGTGCGGATTGGTTTGAGGGTTTACAGGGGGTGCTCTTGACGGATGTCGATCTGGTCTGCACTAGCAGATGTGGTTGCAATTGGATCTACTGAGAGAGATATTGCGACCGCCCCATAGAATTGGGATGCTGTATTTCACAGGATCTTGTAGCTTTTGCATCAGTGTTGGACATGCCTGTCAACAGGATCGCAGAGGTGAGCATGCTGAGGTATCCCATCAGGGGACGATGCTCCTCCGTCGAATCTATCCAAAGACCATCGCACAATCTGTTGCCAGCGGAAATCGATAAACCATTTCTTTTTAATCTTGAGGAGTCCGCGAATGGTGAACTGTGGACAAACACCGCTCTTTGTGCCATTTTCTTCGGAACTTGGGCGCATGAACACCTTGGAAGCCAGGATGCCGAACTGGATGCTTGTATCACCCTCTTGGACTCTTCGGCATGTCTGGGCGTTCGCCTTTCTCGGATGCTGCACAGGTGGCCGTTTTACTTGGACAAAGCCCTGAGTACCGGCGGCGCTTGTTGGACGAGGCCGCTGACTCGGAGAGCCTCGTTGGACTGAGCAGGTCTCCAGTCCCTCGGGGTGATGGACTGGACGAAGGTTTGGAGATGTTGGATCAGGGGGAAGAAAGAGGTCGTCTTCAGTTGCAAGGGGTGATGCACTGGACGTCGAGAGGTGAGCTCACCCTGGGAGCAACTGAAGTGAAGTAGCTCAGAAGTAGCTGGTGAAGTGAAAACGACGGCGAGGAAGCGCTAAGCAGACCATCATTTCCGGGTGGCGGCCGGTGACGCTTTCAGGCCAGCCCACTATCCAAGCTTCATCAAGCTTCCAAGCGTTCAAAGGGTTCACCCGCAGGGTCTCTCGTTCCTCACATTTTTTGTTTGAAAGCTATTGGCTAGAATTGGCTAGATACTCTCACACCCTGGACACAGAATCAATCTTGAAGTGGCCGTATGAAATCGCCAATGAGTGAAACAGTTAAACCCACTCATCCATTGCAGAAGTGAGCACTCAATCCACAAAATCCGGTGCCAAAGTTGCTGTGAGTGTGGACTCTTTTTTTCCTCACCTGATTCTCAAATCATACTTGCTCTACTAGTAACAAGAAGCTACTAGGAACAAGTGCCACGCTAGTAGTAACAA